ACGTAAACCACATAGATTTTAAGAAAATTCAGAGAAAAGTGATTTATCGTCTTCTGCGCATGCGATGATTAAAATGGTGAGTTTTTAATATTTATTTGTTGTAAAAAGATTTTAATATTTTCAACTTGTTACGAAATGCAAATAGTTTAAAAGTATTTCTAGAATCATTTACATGATGTTTTCTCAGTAATTAAAATTCATACAATATTTTAAAACCGCACCTATGCTGCTAAAAAAAATAGGCGATGTAAAAGATTTCTTTCATCGACGTTGCAATAGTTTCTTAGAGAAAACTTCGTATAACTAGTTAAAACAAGTTGATTGTATGGTTTAGTCGAATTTTTTATGAATCACTTGCGCATTGAATTGCAGGAGTAATTTAAATTAAAATAGATGATCATGAAAATAAAATAAGAAGTAATACAAACATAATTAAACATACTTGATATTTTTATACTCTAAAAAAATATATTCACGCCAAATACTTCATTTGGTTCAAATGGAGACAATATAAAATTTCACTAAATTTTTCAATACATCTTGCTTTAATTATATTACGTCGCTTGGATTTCAAAAAAAATTATTTTTGAACTACCGCTTATTCCTTTCGCTTAACGATATTGCATTAAGTCTAAATATTAACAAAATGTATAATGTACAAAATGGTATGCCCTTTTTAAAATATAGTATGCTAAGTAAAAGGCAAAAAAGTAAGTGTAAAAATAGTCACGATTAGGCAAAGCGCGTTCAACATAACTAGTTTAATTATGGAAGAAATTTTATGCAATACAGTGTTCTGTTAGTGTCTACTGTCTACTAGTCACCTATACGTTATCAAACGTCATACTACTTACAGTATTATCATTATGACTCACATCAATTTGCATAAATATCCCTTCTTTAGTTTCGCATCTTGATAAGAACACGTATATTGTATGATAGAAACAAATAGAGATAGAAAAAGAAAGGAGACCTGCTGCGGCCGGAGCTTTATTTTGTTAAACGTATAGTTGTTGGCAGTTGATGGGTAGCCGGTGCACTGAGCCCACACTAGTAACCGAAAAATTACGTGCAATACCATTTAAGTGCAGCGCATATAAATTTTTTGTAGCTCTATCAATCGACACTCGATCCAGTATAAAGCCCCTTAGAAATAATGTTAAAGTCTGCTCATGACAAATCCCCATGAAAGATAATTAGGGCTGAGAAATAAATGATGTAGACTTTTAAAGTTATGATCGTATGATGAAAATTTGTTAAATCACATATTACAGTCTGTAAACAGATATAATGGACCTTACATTTATTATACAATATGTATAATTAAAAAAAAAATTCCTCAACAAAGAAATCATACACATCATCTAGGCAGATGTAGTACCAGGTGCGAGCTTGACAACGAACGTCCGGATTTCCATGGGTTTGAGAGTAACAACGTACGAAGCGTCTAGAGTATTTTCGGTTACTTCGTTGTCAACGACGTCGTCGACTTCCAATTGCCAATCGAGCCGTTTCTTATCTTTTGCCCATTTATTAGCCCCGAGCGTAGTCTCTTGAACCGATTGCACGGTGAAACCGGAAAAGATGTTCTGACGAACAAAAAAAAGAATATTAGGAAAAAATGGCACGACTCGGCTTACAAAGGCATCATTGAATAATACTTTACCTTCAGATCAACTTGCGCCGGGATCGAGTACGCGCGAGTCTCGTCCTTTTCAAAAATGTGCTCCAGACGAAGGAGAACCTCCCCATCCTTCCAGGGCTCGAGAGTCAGTATCTGAACGTTCCTCGGTAACTCACCGACCAAACCATCGCCCTGGAAAAACCCCCGAGATCAAACATTGTTCTCCCTTCCCGCGCTATATTGTCGAAAAGTTTCACCTTCATCTCGTAGTATTCGTTGTACTCGTCGAACGAGTCCAGCGTGGGTGTAACGAAGATCCAAGGTCTCAAGGCCAGCTGGACGGCCAGTTCTTTCTCGGCCAGCACCACCTCGTCGACGTTGTCCAGACTACCGTCGAGAATGTAGTGCTGTCCCCTGGTGACGAGACCCTCGCCGTAGGCCGATTCGTTGAGCGCCTCGCCGACCCCAAAGGCGTCATCCATGAGTAGTCTCCGGTGCAGCATGAGCTCGATCTCACCCTCCTTCAGGCTCGTCCCGCCCTGAGCGCGATCGGTAAGCACGGCCAGGCGCTCCCTCTCCTTTTGGTCCTCGATGAGTATTTTACTGGTCACGGGGTAATAGTTCCCGGAGATCGGCTCCTCCAGGTGGACCTCCCAAGTCGGCCGGTAGTTGACTCTGCGCCTCAGCATCTCGCGCCCGTTGCTGTCGGTGAAGAACTCGGCGTGGTTTTTCAGGTCGCTCGAGTACCTCGTGATGATCTCCTTGCCGATCGCGTCCCTGAAATTTTCCATTCGAGAATCAGCCTCAGTATCACACCTTACATGAGGTACAGGTGCTTTTGACGCTATACCTAACGGGAATCGGTCCGACGATCCAGTCGCATTCCACGTACGGCTTGTTTTTGTAGACTTTGACTATTTGGCTCACCCAATCGTTTATCACGTACCGGCCTTCCTCGACCAAAGGTCCTTTGGAACAAAAAAAAAAAAAAAGTGATTTTGTGATATTTACCGTCCATTTTTCTCAAGTAGTAGCGACAAGTCGAATACAAATACGTACCCTTAACGACATTGAAAGTCCCGGCTGTCGAGAAGTTTTTGGCGAAATTTTCCTTGGGCCGGAAAATATACGCCCCCGAGGACCTGTCTTCGAACGCTTGATTGCTACCCGCCGCGCCCTCGTAGTAATGGAACGACTGCACGATTTCCTTGCCGGTTCTCGCCGATCTAATGGCTAGTCTGCCCTCCGGGGTCATGGTAATGCTGAACGTCTGGTGTGCGGTAAAGAAAAAAACAAAACAAAAGGTACAACTCGCTTGTCGATATTCCACGTATAGGTTTTAGGAAAAAACGCTTGCGAGCCTACATTTGTATTCGCCACTTGTACCTTATTGTTAACCACGGGCTCGTCGCTCTGCATCTCGCCAGTGGCTTCGGTCACGTAGAAAGACTGGAATCCCAGTGGCGCGACACCGGCAGCTTCGAAGAGCAGTTCGTTATCAGCTCGGCCGAACCGGCCCGGGATGTTCTTCACCTGGTCGGAAATCGGCAAGACCTGCGTCACCAGCTCCTTTCCTGTTGCATTTTTTTTCGTGACAATTTTCATCACGTATACTCAAAATCATTCAATGCACATACCGGTGTGATCTCGAACGGCGTAGGATGCACCCTGCACCGGCAGGCGGACGAACGTCGCGAGTGGCTGGCTCGTCGGGTTGTAAACCGTCACGACGAATTTTTTATTTTCGGAGGAGTGCTCGCAGGAGCTGATGTTGAGCAGCAAACAGGTGTTGAACTCGGCTTCTCGCTTCGGTTGTTTTTTCATGGCCCACTTGCTGCAAGTCGCGCGTCACGGGTATTCAAACCAAAAAAATTCATTTTTAAATAAACGGTGCTTTTTTACTTTATGGCCTTGGAAGCAATGCTTTCTCCGTTTTTGAAGCTGTAGTGTAGCAGTCTGGCATAGTCCTCGGCCACGTGTTGTTTTTCGGTGCCGGTTATCGCGTCGTGGTGCTGCATCACGCCCATAGCCTCGCGGAATAGCTGCAGCTCTTTGGTATCCGGCTCGTTCGTCAAGACGGATAATTGTTTCACAATCTGTGACAATGCAATTGCGGTTGAAGTGAAAAAGGAATTCGAAGGTTAATTTCAAAAGGTACATCACCTGCAAGAAGTTATTTCCCAATCTTTCGAAGAATTTGAGGGTGGGTCTGGAGGAGAAGTATCCAGTCCAGAAGGCGTGGGGGTCACTCGAATATGGGAAGAAATCGTCCGTCTTTGCCGGCCACTTGAGATTCTGCTCGTTCAACGACTTCAAGTAACACGAAGGAGTGGAATAAAAGGCGTTGTAATTCGTGCCGTTTCTCTCATTCACGTACCTGAAGAGATTTTTTTTTTTTTTTTTTTTTTTCAAATCCAAACGTTATAATATTACTTCTCATAATCATACTTACCGTATGAGTTTATCCAAATTTGTGTACCACATTTCGGCATTTAAGTAATTAAAATCCTCGCCCATCGTGAGAATTACGTTGTTCGTCCGGTACTTGGACGCTTGCAATTTAACGAATCTTAGGAATTTCTCCAACTGTTTATACAACACGTTATATTTATTCTATCATTACTTTATCATGCACAACATTGAATCTCGCGGTTGCATCTCTTGGTGGGCGAAGATTTTTCAAAAATCAATCATTATATTTATTAAAAAAAAAACATAATAATGCTCTCTCGTACCTGATGAGCTTATCCAAATTTTTTAAGTACATGTCAGCGTACGTATACGTGAAATCACCTCCCATCGTCAGAATAATATCGTTCGTGCGATAATACTTGCTTTGTTTGTCGACAAACTTTAAAAACTGTTCGATCTGCAAGACAAAAATTGTTTTTTTTTTTTTTTTTTTTTTTTTTTTTTTTTT